GTGGCCCGCCGTCCAACAGCTTTCGGTTTGGCCATCTGGCTTTCGGTCTGGCCGCGTCCCAACGCGGTGGGTGCTGTAGGTGAGCAGGCTGGACAGCTGGCGGGCGCTGGTGCAGCCAGGTGGCCCGCCGTCCAACAGCCAGCCGCTGCCTCGAGCCCGGCTCTGCCGCCCACGCCATGACCACCGCCTACGCAGCCCGCGCCGACACACCCCAGCTGTGGCACCGTCGCCTCGGCCACCTCGGCTATGACAACTTGGTCAAGCTCACCAACATGTCCACCGGCATCAACCTCACCTCCGCCGACATCAAGACGACTAGCGCCGACAGCTGCGACGCTTGCATCCTTGGCAAGCAACACCGTCTACCGTTCAACGCCTCCACCACCGTCACCAGCAAGCCCCTTGAGCTGCTGCACACCGATTTGTGTGGCCCGATGCCCGTCCCCTCTCACGGCGGCAACCTCTACTTCATCACCCTGCTAGACGACCACACCGGCTACTCGCTCATCTCACCACTGCGCCGCAAGTCAGACGCCGCAGACTTCCTCAAGACCTCCATCACCATGCTAGAGTGCCAGACCGGCTACACTGTCAAGCGTATTCGCTCCGACAATGGCGGCGAGTTCATCAACACCGAACTGGACACCTTCTACCAGTCCAAGGGCATCAAGTCAGAGACCTCCGTCCCCTACACGCCCCAGCAGAACGGCAAAGCCGAGCGTCTCAACCGCACGCTGCTGGATAAGGCGCGCCCAATGCTGGCGGATGCCAACCTGCCCAAGTTCCTGTGGGCAGAAGCCATCGTCACCGCCAACTACCTGCGCAACCGCTCTCCAATCTCATCCCAAGACACCACCCCCTACGAACTGTTCCACGGCACCAAGCCTGACCTGTCCCACCTGCGCACATTCGGAGCCCGAGCCTACGCCCACGTTCCCACCGTGCTGCGCACCAAGCTCGACGCCGTCAGCGAGCCCGGCCGTTTCATCGGCTACCCCGCCAACACCAAGGGATACAAGATTCTACTTGACAACGGCACAACCGTCATCAGCTGCGATGTCACCTTCGATGAGACCAGCTCCATCCTGCCCAAGACCAACCTGCCCAAGACCAACCTGCCCAAGACCAGCCTGCCCAAGACCAGCCTGCCCGAGACCATTCCCTTCAGCGACACCGACGACAATGAAGCCGTGGGAGCGCCAGCCGAGCCCGAAGCTCCACCTTCACCTCGCATCGCACTGCGACGCACCGAGCGCGCCGCTGCACGCCGCCCAGCCAGCTTGTGGCAGGACGACGCCTACCGCATCACTGATCGCACCACCGCCATCGTCAACACTGCCACCACCGCTGCTGAGCCCACCAGCCTGGAGGAAGCCCTGAAGTCCCCCGAGGCCGACCAGTGGCGCCTCGCCATGGATGAGGAGATTGCATCCCTCGCCGCCAACGACACCTGGACCCTGCAACCTACGCCTGCCAGCATCAAGCCCATCCCAGTCAAGTGGGTGTACAAGGAGCGATGCCAACGGCAACATTGAGCGCCGCAAGGCCCGCCTCGTCGTCAAAGGTTTCCACCAGCGCGAAGGCATCGACTACGACGAAGTGTTTGCCCCCGTCTCCAAATATTCCACCCTGCGCACCGTGCTAGCCATCGCTGCTGACCTGGACCTGGAAATTCACCAACTCGACATCAAGACTGCATTCCTCAACGGCAAGCTGGACGAGGATGTGTACATCCAGCAACCACCTGGCTACAACTACGATAACCCAGACCTGGCCTGCAAGTTGAACAAGGCCCTCTACGGACTCAAGCAAGCCTCCCGAGCCTGGCACCGCACCCTGAAGACCGAGATCGAGTCCATGGGCTTCAAGGAGTCAACTGCTGACCCAGGCCTCTTCATCAAGCCCTCCTCACCACCAGCCTACCTGCTCATCTACGTCGACGACATTCTGGTCATCACCAACAACACATACATGCTCAACTCCGTCAAGAACCAGATCTCCACCGCCTTCGAGACCCGGGACCTTGGTCCAGCCACCTTCTTCCTCGGCATCGACATCATCCGAGACCGCACCACCAAAACCATCAAGCTGACCCAGACCCGCCATACCACTGACCTGCTGTCCAAGTTCAACATGGAGAAGTCCAAGCCCTTCGATACACCATCCAGCATCGCCATCAAGCTCACCGCCGACGGCGAGCCACTCGACACCAAGGAACATCCCTACTCCACCCTCATCGGCTCCCTCATGTACCTGGCATCCTGCACCCGACCTGATATTGCCCAAGCCGTGGGAGCGTTGGCCCGCTAAATGTCCAAGCCCACCACAGCGCACTGGACTGCAGCCAAGCATGTGCTCCGCTACCTCGCCGGCACCACCGACTACGGCATCATCTTCACTCCATCCGACTCCACACTCAACGCCTACTGCGACGCCAACCACGCTGGCGACATCGACACCCGCCGCTCAACCACCGGCTACGTGTTCACCTTCAACAACGGCTCCATCACCTGGAGCTCCCGCCTGCAGCCCACTGTCGCTGCATCCACCACCGAAGCTGAGTACATGGCTGCCGCTTCCACCGTTAAGGAAGCCCTGTGGCTCCGTAAGCTCTTCACCGACCTGGACCTGCACATCGCATGCATCGACATCAAGTCCGACAGCCAGTCCGCCATCCACATGCTCAAGAACCCCATCATCTCCCTCCGCTCCAAGCACATCGACATCGTACACCACTTTGCCCGCGAGCGAGTCGCCCGTGGAGAAGTCAACTTCTTCTACATCCCCACCGACTCCATGGTCGCCGACATCCTGACCAAGCCCGTGCCCACCAACAAGTTCAAGTTCTGCCGCGACGCAATGGGCATTGCCTAAGTGCAACGGCTGTGCAGCCTGCGTGGGAGTGTTGAGCTGTGACAATGCCACGTGTCCAGTCTACACATCCGCCGCACAGATACCCTCATTCCCGCCTTTCCCGCCCCAGGCACCGCACAATTGTGTTTCCCCACCCCATTCCCAGTTGATCGACACTTGTGCCACTCCCTTTCATGCACCTGACCCAGCCATTATGCTCACCGATACCATGATGCTTTTGTGCCGCATCGTACCCGCATCGTATCAGGAATATCCCAAGTATATGCCGGGAATATGCTCCTCCATCCCAGATCTATTTAACACCGCCTCTACTGCGAATTTACTACTCTTGCTGCCTTTGTAAATACCTCCCGTCAACAGGATGTGCTGGTGTGCGTGAAGAGTGAAGGGGGGCTGTCTGGCTGCTTCCAGTCTGTGCTGGGTGTCAAGCAAGGCTGCCCCCTCAGCCCACTGCTGTTTGGTGTGTTTCTGGACGACTTTGAGGCACATGTGCAGCACTCGGTTGGGGAGGCTGCAATGCTGCCCCAGCTGGCTGGCCCCGTTGCTGTTTGCTGACGACATGTTTTTGGTTGCCACCACGGCAGCTGGGCTGCAAGCCCAGCTGCATGCCCTACAGAACTACTGCAATGACAAGAAGCTCACGGTCAACGCCGCCAAGACCCAAGTGATGATTCTGCGGCCGGGTGGAGGCGACGGCGGCAGGCTGGCGGCAGGCGAGTCGTTCTCCTACGCCGACAGCCCTCTGGAGATGGTCAGCTCCACCAAGTACCTGGGCCTCACCTTTTCCCAGTTAAGCAAACAGCGTGGCTTTGCCAGCTGTGCTGATGTGCTTGCCAAGGCAGGGCGGCAGGCCATGTTTGCCATGCGCCGCCGAGCCTGGGAGCGGGGAGTCAGCCTGGTGGAACAGCAGAGCATGCTGTTTGATGTGTTTGTCAAGCCCGTGCTGTCGTATGGCTGCGAGGTGTGGGGGGTTGACATGCTGAATAGGGCAGACTGCTCCTCAGTAGAACGTGTGCACCGCTGGTTCTGCAGGCGGATCCAAGGGCTCCCACGACAAGTGTCCTCAGCGGTGGCGCTGGCGGAGCTGGGCCGTCAGCCGCTGCACCTGTTCTGGGTGCAGCAGCTGGTGCGCTTCCGGAATCGCCTGTAAGCCAGAATGGCCGAGCCGGACCGGGTCCTGGCCTGGGCGTTTGAGGACAACCTGGCGCTGATGCGCGAGGGGACCGATCTCGCCGCCGGCTCGCCCTGCTGGTGCCGGCGCTGGCAGCAGTTTCTGCTGTCGGCACCCACGGACAGCGGAACGATCGTGTGGCTGACGGAGCTGGATGAGAAGACCGTGGTGGAGCGCGCAGCAGCAGCTTACCTTCGCCAGTCCCTGGAGCCGGAGCCCGAGAGCAGCAGCCAGTAGCAGCCAGCAACATCAGCCAACAGCAGCAACTCCCAGTAACACCCAGCAGTACCAACAAATTTGCCTACTACCTACAGCACATTCGCGGCGGCCTGCCCCTTTCCCAACCAGCATATCACTTGCTTGAAGTCTATGACCCCAATCTCCGTATCGCCCTCACTCGCTTTAGAACCAGTTGCCATGACCTTCGCATCGAACGGGAACGCTATTTGCCAAAGGCCATCCAGGCCCCCACCCATGAACGCACGCACGCACGCACGCACGCACGCACGCACGC